ATCTATCTATCTATCTATCTATCTATCTATCTATCTATCTATCTATCTAGTGTATGGGTGCCCTATCTACATGTGCACCTACATGCCAGAAGAGGCCATCAGATTCCATTATAGATGGTTGTGAGCTACCATGTGATTGCTGGGAATTGAACTCAGAAGAACAGACAGAGTTCTTAACCACTAAGCCATTTCTCCAGTCTCCCTGGCCTTCATATCTTAATTTAAAAAAAAAAAAAAAAAGTTTCTTTTTTTTTTTAGGACTGTTGTGCTGGCACATGCCTTTAATCCCAGTACTCAGGAGGCAGAGGCAGGGGGATCTCTGTGAATTTGAGGCCAGCCTGGTTTATAAAGAGAGTTCCAGGACAGCCAGGGCTGTTAGGCAGAAAAACCCTGTCTCAAAAGCAAAAACAAACAAAGCAAACAAAGCAAACAAACCCATACAAGCGTCTGGCTTTATATTAAATGGCATTCTCTTCTCAGTGGTTTTTTGTTTGTTTGTTTGTTTCATTTTGTTTTGTTTTGTTTTGCACAGTGTCAAGGCAGCTCAATAAAATGGTTGGCTTTTATTTACTTGAAAAACTCAGTTTTTGACTCTGGGCCCAGCCAACAGCACTCACGCTGCTACAGAAAACTCACATAGCCTTTCTGGCACAAGCATCCAAAAGGCCACCGTGTGGGTGCTGAGATTTGAACCTAGGTCCCCTGGAAGAGCAGTGAGTACTCTTTAATTACTGAGCTATCCCTCTAGCTGCACCTAATCCCCCACCCCCCACGCATACACACACACTTTTTTAAAAGACGTGGTCTTACTATTTATCCCTGGCTATCCTGGAAACTCACTGTGTAGACCAGGCTGCCTCTGCTTCCTGAGTGCTAGGATAAAGGGTGTGACCTCCATATCTTGCTCACATCTGACTCTTTATGTAGGTGCTAGGGGTCTGACTCAGGTCCTCCTGCTTTCACAACAGGCCCTTTACTACTGAGCCATTTGTCCAGCCCTATATTTCAGCCTTAAGTGGTGCTGGAACTGAACTCTGGAGCTTGTACGTGACTGGTAAATTAAGCTGCACCTCCAACCCAACCTGTCACTTCCCCAAGCGTCCTAGCAAGTACCCTACCACTGAACTTTACACCCCACCTGTCACTCTTTGGTGGGGTAGAGCCTCCATTCCTGTTTGGCTAATTTTGCTTGGCAGTCAGGTCACATGTGTCCTCCTCATCTAGTCTTTGAGCCCTCCCTACACCATGCCTCTTTCTCTGCCGCTCCTGTCACCCTAGGTCATCAGCGTCTTTCTGTCTCCAGGGCCAGATCTCTTTTATTTTATATTATCTAGTACATAGTGACTTCTCAGGAACTGTTGACTGTCTGAATGGTGCCTGCCAGAATGGTGGCTAGTAAATGAAAAAAAATTTTTTTTCCCCAAGACACGGTTTCTCTGTGTAGCCTTGGCTGTCCTGGAACTCGCTCTGTAGACCAGGCTGGCCTCCAACTCAGAGATCTGCCTGCCTCTGCCTCCCAAGTGCTGGGATTGAAGGCATGCGCCACCACTGCCCAAATAAATGCAATTTTAATATACTTAATTTGGTAGAGGGGACATGACCATGCCACGGACAACTTTCAGGAGCCCTTCCTCTCTTTCCACTATCTGAGGTCTGGGGGCTGATTGAGATCATCAGGATTGATGGCAAGTGCTTGTACCTACTAGGCCATCTTGCTAGTCCCTGGTAGTATGGTATTCAGGAATAGAGAGACTGAGTTCCTAGGGTGGGTTTGGTTTTAGATGAATTGATTCGGAAGTTTCGGTTGGACTTGCTGGTGAAAGCGTGCAGTAGCTGATCAGAGTTAGGGTCTTTCTTCTGAAGGAGCTGTTATAGCAGCAGATAGGAGGGTGATCGGAGAGAATGTGCAGAAACTGAAAGCCTGCTGTTCTCTGACCCTGGTATCGCTTTGATGAGGAACAGGTTTCCATCTTGTGTCTGCAGGGAAACGTGGTGGCCCTTGTGCATGACAACAACGATGCTGACGATGAAGAGAATGACACCCTGCTGAATGGCCTCAGTCATCAAAGCCACCTGATCCTGCGGGCTGAGGGTCTGGCCACCGGGTTCTGCAAGGACGTGCATGGGCAGGTACACAGGCTGAGCCACGGGCTGCTTTGGATGGAAGGGAAACCTTGGATGTCCTGAGTTTTGTGAATATGAGTCAGTGTCCTGCACCAGGTGGTACGTAGACTCCTGGAGCAGGAAATGTTTTTCCTGGAGGTCTCATTTGTGGCCAAAGTGGTGTTCTGAAAAGGAGATAGTTATACAGAATGGATTACACCTGTACTATCAGATAATAGTAGAATTATTTTCTTATACTGTAGCAGTATTTGCATTTTCTGTTCAACATGGTTCCTTTAAAAATGAAGATGGGGGTGGGGGGCTGGAGAGATTGCTCAGTGGTTAAGAGCCCTGCCTGCTCTTCCAAAGGTCATGAGTTCAATTCCCAGCAACCACAGATTCACAATCATCTATAATGTGAACTGATTCCCTCTGCTGGCAGATGTAAATGCAGATAGAAGACTCATATACATAAAATAAATAAACCTTTAAAAAAAAATGAAGAGTGGGATCTAGGCGTATTCGATTCCTTTTTTTGTTTGTTTGTGACAGGGTTTCTCTCTGTAGCCTTAACTGTCCTGGACTTACTTTGTAGACCAGGCTGGCTTTGAACTCTCATCGATCTGCCTGCCTTTGCTTCCTGAGTGCTGGGATAACAGGCGTGTGTTACTTTGCCTGGCTATGTGTTGATTTTCAAAATCAGTCTAGCTAACAAGCACAGAGCCATGTTTAGAAAAAAACACTAGAGGACTGGAGAGATGGCTTAGTGGTTATGGGTATTTGCTGGTCTTTCAGGAGATCCAGGTTTGGTTCCCAGTACCACATGGTGGCTCACAAGCATCTGTCACTCCAGTTTCTGGGGATCTAATTCCCTCTTTGGCTTCTGTGGGCCCCGGGCACTCACATGCTACACATGCAGGTAAACATACTCCTGCATGTGTACACATAAAATAAAATAATAATTTGCTTGAGGACTAAAGAGTAGTTGGTGATGTCTATATAGGTTAGTGTTAGAGCACTTGAACGGCATGTACAGGGCCCCTAGGTCAAACCTTGTACTAAAAAATAAAACAAAATACAAAGGAAGGGAAGGAGGGAGGGGAATGTTCATACATGCCAGCACTCTGGAAACAGAAGCAGGAAGCTCCCCTGTGGCCAACCTGGTCTACATGGCACAATTATCTCAAAACAACAACAGAAAGAAAGCAGAGTAGGGGAGGAGAGAAAAGGAAAGGAAAATACATGAAAATACTTCCCTGGTTTTCTCTGGAGGATTCTTTCTTTCTTTCTTTCTTTCTTTCTTTCTTTCTTTCTTTCTTTCTTTCTTTCTTTCTTTC